GACAAAGGCCTTGTGGAGTAGACCAATTCCTTGTTGCGTGCACAATATACAGGAAATACAAAGTCAACTCCTGAATCCAATTTTCTGAACTATCGAATTCCATGAAAACGAAGTAAATGCGAGATACCTCGCATGGTTGCTCCATTAGGCATGAATAGTATCAGTGTGTGAGGTAGATTAACGTATGATATAAAGGGAAATAGAATGAACGTTAGGGGGGAGAACGAAGATAAACAAAAAGAACAGTGGGGATGTGGGACGAATTGCTTGTTTCCATTTCGATGTCGTACGTTGGCTGCAGCGGAGCAACAGACTCCTTCAGCCGAGCGGTTTCAAATAAATAACACCCCCACCCGAACCAATCGGCTGTGTCGGCGGTGTGGATGGCAGGGGAGGGGAACGTGCGACAAAGCAAAGAATGGAGGCTTTAATGGAAAATCTTTGCTCTGACTGGTATGTAAATTATCTATGAAGCCAAGAGCATGCCATTTCAAAAAAAGGCTTCCAAGAGAGTGTGTGTGTGAGTAACTGATTTTCAAGAATTGAATAAGCACCAAGGACAGTAAACGTAGCTCCCTGGTTCAAATATTGACCAGGATTTCGCCTATCCTGCCACATTTTTAGATGTTTTCCTCAATGTATTAACGAAAATGACAAACCAGTAGGGCCCACGTTAAATTAGGCCGCGATCGATCCTTTCTGTTTATTACAATTAAGTTTTGTGTTCTTCTCTAACGCGAGCTCATGCCAGTATGTCGCGAGTTTCATCATACTTTACAACAAAGATCGTATCTTTGTTGCCCTGCTGACGTAACAGTCACTTGATGTAGCATAAGAAAGATCTTTGAATACCATTGATTCTGAAGTAGAATGTTCACCACTGGACTTCGACTGAGTTTCATGATAAAGCTAAAGAGATTATGTATATAACAAACTTTGTTAACGTTGCCAAATATCATTGAGAAAAATAATGTATGTTTCGAAAGACTTCTCTCAGAGTAACTAGAAATTGGGGTCTCAAAATTTCTTTGTCGTCTTTCGTCACAGTAAAAAAATAGAGTTGGATAAGACAATGGCAAACAGAAAAAGGTTTTTAAAAAGTCAAACCATTGAGAATTTGCACAGGATACAAAATACCTATGCGGGACAATTTACCCTTTAATTGTGAATTAAACAGAAAAATGGAAAAGAATAAATACATAATTTTATTCTAGTGCTGCATACAGATTAGGGTATTTTGAGCTGATGTTCGGTACAGGGTATTCAGTATAAAATAAAATACGTTAACGAAAGTTTAAATTTCTAACGGAAAGTCGAATAGAAAATGGAACAACACAGCACAGACCTTTTTTATCCGTGTTACGGAAAGTCGAATAGAAAATGGAACAAAATTAAACAGCACAGACCTTTTTTATCCGTGTATTCGACAGAAGATTAGCAAATATCTGACTTCCAGATTTTAATGACACAATTTTTAATAATTTAATTTTTAAACACGTATGCAAAATTAATTAAAATATGTCAAAATAAACTCTTCGTCACAAAACGTTTTATTAAACTATTTCCACTAACAACCAATGACTTTTTAAAGTCATGAATGCAGCCAACATTATCTACTTGAAGCCAAAGCCAGTCTAAAAAATACATGCCGTACCATAAAACAAGACCTGTCCATCACTGGCTGATGCTATTTAAGGGTATAATCGCTGTTTGCACCGATAATCACATAAGAAATCCATATAAAATTCAGGGTTACTTATTGTTAAGGTAGGTGGTACATTTTCCAATGGGCTTTAAAGTATTATCCAAAACACACAGATTCATAAAGCATTAACCAAAATTTCTTAAATTCACGTCAATAAGATTTTCAATTGAATTTTAACAAAAAAATGAAATGAAATTACTTTAGATCTCGACGCGGACAAAAACTAAAATAAATTAGCGTATTAAATTATAGCCGAGTATAAACAAAGTAATTAGATAATTTTAGAAGGTTGAAAGTCATCAGGAAAGACCATCTTAACGCGACGTGGACTCTAAGGGAAAAACTATAACATTACACTAACAAACAAATATCTTTGTAAGATCTCAGAAGGACGGAATATAATAGAAGCTCGAACAACTTTTTCACTACCGATCAATCGGAAAGAAATCCTAGAAAACATGGATGGATAAATACAATCCTGAGAATGAGACGCGTCACTTACTAGCTCAATTTGACGACTAGAAGAAGAAGTATGATAACATATTTAAATAATAATATGATGTATGAATGGGAAATATTTGATTCTCAGATATCTCGGCTTTTAACTCGAGCATTTGTTCCTATTCATTCAGATTTAACGACCAACCCAAAGAATAGATGATTTGAGGAAAGGAATCTCTTACGACCAATACGGCCAATCCCTCGTTCTGGATGTTATTTTGGATGTTTTATGTCAGAACCAAGCAGAAATCCAACTTTATTGCATATTGAACGTCAAGATTCTCTAAAAAAATGTCCCCTTCCTCACATTTCTTAGGCCAGCTATATATTTTCTCTCTGAATACCTCGTACTTCTCCAATATACTTAAGCATGAAACCGCTAGCATCGTCATAACCATGAACCTGGATTACAGAACCCTACAGCGCATTCAGTTCTGTGGAAGTTTGCCTTCACAGCTAACGTACACTTCCGCTGACAGCAAGTGGTCCCCGAAGTGCATTAAGAATAAAAAAACACGGAGAGGTGTGGGCTGTTGGGGGGTCACATGTAAGAGATTATTTAACAATGATTCTTCAACCTGTTAGATTTTATAGACTCGTATGGCACAATTATTGTTAACCATGAATTTTAAAATATAAGAGGAAAGATTTTTGCTACTATGAACACACTTTTGCAAGGTCCCAGTGCAAAGCATGAGTGTTGGAAAAACGGCGTGTTTCACTTACTTATCCGTGCTTAATTTCTCCGGTATTATTAGAGTAATATTTTAACTTATGACTGTTAGTCTGCCAACATAAAAAGTATTGATGTTCTTTTAAATCTTGCGTGCACATAAATTCACCGAAAGAGATGGATGCATTCAAAATGAAATTGCGCAGTTCTGCACTAAAAAGTCACCCTTAATTCATAACAGCCTTTATTTAGTAATATAGCAGGTATTCGAACTGGTGATCTTGAGTTCTTCAGTTTCTCTCCCACCAATAAGATTATTTCAAGATACCAGCTTTACGGCAGTGTAGAATTTTGTAATAAAAGAGTGCAAAGTTCAGATACCGGGTGAGATAACGACTGTAAAATCTTTTATCTCGTTTCTTCCGGGCAAATGAAGTCTCAGAGCTTAAATTAGCCCATAGCTGTTTCCTCCTCCAATCTCTTCCATTTTCTCGAAGTGTTAAGTAACATTCTCCGTAATCAATACTTCCAGTCGTTAGAACGTTCTTTATATTCACAAGCGTTACCACAGTTGAAAGAACTTTTATTATACCACAGTTTGAAAATAATAAACAAAATTTTGCTTCATGTAGGCCAGTTCGACACTTTATGATTCACTTTTATAATGAATATCAGAAGGCGGTAAACTGTGTATTGAATTTCCCGTTGAAATGCTAAGCGTGGTTGCTTTGTGGCTTTGAAAATGTCCACAGCCTTCATATCGGATGCCTTTGAGTAAAAATTAGAAAACCGGTGTACCAACAGCTAGGGAATGCCAACCGGTAAACATCCATTCCCATTTTCGTTAAAATTATCATTCGCCTATCAAAACTGTGAAATTAACAAAGGTAGTTAATTAAATTTGTAACGTACAGTTCAAAGTTAATGAATACACTTCTACACCGATATACGTAACACGAATTGTTTTGATCTGTACTGAAGAGCAGGCTAGCAAATTGATATAGGCACATTCAATAAAGTTTGCCTTAGTTAATCAGTTCTAATACACAATTCAATTTGTAAAATTTCTCGCATGAAGAAGTAACTCAGAAATCACAGTAGTAATATGCAGCAATATACTTTAAGAGCCATTCGAAACGTCTCTCCTTCCACTAAACCAAATTCGGATACTGTACACATAATCCTGTTGTCATTAATTTCACACTTATTATCCATAAACGTAGTGACTTTTACAATGGTTTCATACACCGCGTTGTAAAACACAGTTCTATAATTTATATAATGTTTGATATCTAGAAGTCATCACCACAGATTATATACAAGCTTAAGTAAAACACGTTGACAAAAGGTCGCGCGATAAATGCTGGCAAATGCGCAGAGGACTGATTTTGGTCGTATGAGTTGGACCCGTCCGAAGCACGCGCTAGAGGGGTGTCAGCTTCAGTTTGTTTGTAGCTCTAGCTGTGTTTAGATCGGTGCGTCACCACAGTTGAGGCTGTGCGACCCCCACTACTACCGAACTCCCCTCTCTCGGCTTACACATCGCGCATTTAGGTGCCACGACTGCTCAAGCTCCCGTAACTTTGAATTATTCCTTTGCACCGGAAAACTTACCAACATATATGACGGTAAACAAACTATTCAAGGGCAATTCTTCATAATCTAAACGGTCTACTACAGGTAAATCAAACTCAATTAACGCATTTGTGAAGATGGACGGATGATTGCACAATCTGTATCTTGTAATACATGAATCACATTTGTAAAATAATTTTGAACCATTCTTCCTTATTAATGGTGGTATTGTGGGTCGTCGACTTCGACGTTTCGGAGCAACAAACTGCCTAAGCATTAAAGATGAATTCAGTAATGACTCTCCGTCACTTTGGTAACGACCTATAATCCCACATGGCACGGAACACAGACAGCAAACATATGACATATCCACCGTCTTGACAATCTCAGTCTCGTACCATTTACGTAACAACTTCTACCTTACTTTGAAGACCGACGGGAGTACACAAATACAGAAATTAAATCTTGCGGCAAAATGTAACAACATTTATTTTCCGATGTTTAGGGTCTCGTATTAACTAGCTGTATAACCTGTTGTCTCCTCAGCTCAGTCCATGTTTTAGTTACACCAGCAACTTTGTTCCAGAAGGATTATTCCCGAGGTTAGCTGAGTCCATCCCGAATGTGACTGTCAGCGTTGGGCGGGACGCGCTGCTAGCGTGCGTTGTGGAGAATCTCCGAAGGTACAAGGTACGCACAGAGAGAGAGAGAGAGAGAGAGAGAGAGAGAGAGAGAGAGAGAGAGAGATTGCATGGATCCTGAACTGTTCTTACCGAATGTAGATAAAATTGGGGCCCCTTCTTATATAGCACAATTTTGGCGAAACTCTTTCATTTTTGCAACACAGCACTACGTAACTTACGTAATGATATTGTAACCATACTGTAAATTTGTTTTATGCTGTGCTGAAGAAGGCGTAGGGCAAAAGTCAGGAAGAAATTTCGACGAAAAGATTCACTGAACGTTATTCGAGACAAAGCCTCTATTAATACTTACAACAATTTATTACTATAATTACAATTTGCTGGGACATTACACATTGCCAAATATTGAAATTACACCATTAGCAATTTAAAAGATTAACATTTCTTAGACTCTCTGCGTCTCGGAGACTGTATATATCTCCATCTTTTTATCTTCTTACCTGAAGACTGAGTTAGAGTTTTTAATTTCTATTGGTACAGTTTTCAGCATTATAATAATACTAATATACCACTGTCAAGTAACTTCACAATTATATTAAGCCTTATTGTTATTCGGAGACTACTTATAACACACGAAAAGATTGTCTTATCTAAAATAACTACATAGTCATATCGTACACATTTCTTTGGGATTCTACGCCGGCTTTAAATATTATCAAGTGCTTGGAGCATAACATTACATGCTTTGAAGCAAAACACAAGATTAAACGTTAAACTGAATGCATTTCTACATAAAAAGTAGAACTACCAAAGCATCGAACTTTATATTATACCTAAATTAAATTTTACTTGTAGGAATTGGATGGACATTTTCCTCAGTTGCATATATTTGACAGATAAATTTTAATTACGCAAGTAACAAATCGACACTTACGCATAAGAGACATTTTCGTACAAATCACGAACTGATAATCCAAGTACCAGCGTAACTCTTATGTAACAGTACTCAAAATGTTAACATTTAGCCTCTCCCGATATCAGATCACCCCGTTTTAATCGTGGAGTTTAATGTTTCCTGTGTACTAGAGAGTGATACAGAATCGATTTCATTCAGTATCCATGTTTTAAGCAACTATTTTTCCCACTTCTCATTATAATTACAAGTTCCTTTGATAGCTCAAATCCCTTGTGTGTCCGTCAGCCACACACCCTCATTCCTTACGAATCCCTTTGATGTTGACTACAGTTTCGAAACCTCGTAATCATGTATCTTTACCTGAGTCATCAGCAATTAGTGCTTGAAAACCTTTTCTGTCCCATCTCTATGTTTTTGTAGGTAGGACACAGAAATATTATATCGGGCTGTACTGTTAATATTCATGGCTCGTTTTCCATATTTACACATCCACTCACGTATTTTTGTATCATTTTCCTCTCATAATTGGTACGTAGACACAAGCGAAATTAACCTAAAGTACACATGCTCAAAACTATACATTCTACGCGTAATTAATGATTTGTAGAATGTATCTGTCTTTTTATTTTTTCAAAATGTGTAGCGCTACAGCTGATGTTTGGGCTTCACATTTCGTTTGGATTTCGGTGATGAGCGTGTATGGACATGCTCGGCATTTTGCATAAACCCCATATGACGATGTATTAAGATCTCAACGCAAATTGACGTTGTGAGCCAACATTTTAACTCTGACAAATGCATGGTCGATAATGAAAGATAAAGCAGTCAACTGTAAAAATGTTAAAACTGTTTAATTTATTGTCGTATATGAATATATTATCCTTTCTCATTTAACCCCTTGAAGCCGAAGGTCCTCTAAATATTGTTTAAATAGTTGGTACCTCAAAGAAAATGTAACCTGTAACTATTAGAAAGATAAATTTTTAAACTGATTTTAAGGAAATAATCGGTGTTTGATCTGAGAATTATACGGAACAAAAATTTTAGGCAAAACGCAGATTCATTGATTGTTAAATGAGGTGGCATATATAGTTACCACAAGGCTTTAAAGGGTTAATATACTCATCGTAGAGGCAGAGAGATTATCACTCTCACTGCGTATTTCGTAAGTCCAGGGTTCAAATGTCTGGCTTGAAACCGGCCATATTAAATACGTTTTTCATTATTTTCCTCATTCTCTCCAGACAAATCCCGGAATCGACCTTAAATTAGACGAGGCCGCTTCCTTCTACAACCATCCAATAAAATGTTCATAGATTATCCTAACACTGGATGCAATATAGTCTGAGCTATAAACAGCGTTGTTAAATAAACCACAAATAAACTATCGAAACATTCCAAAATGAAATACAGAAAATACATTCCTCCGAATTTGGTGTTCTTTGTTGAATCATCACTTTCAAGATAGCAGACATGAATGGGTTCTGGCATTACCACGTGTTCATATTAAATCGCCGTTACAATTTTAAGCTCTTTTCCACTGAACTCTTTGTTCTGACATTGCATGTAGCCGTAGGGCTCATTAAAAAAGGCTTGATATGTATGTATATGTATATGTGTATATATATATATATATCTATATTCACTTCAATAGAAAATCCCGGTATATGTATATGTGTATATATATATATTCACTTCAATAGAAAATCCCAATTTCCCAATTAATTGTTAATATTTTTATACCCGATAAGAAGGGTTTAAGTCAAACGAAAGATATAACCTACCTATTGGTTGATAATTTGCATTTCAAACATATTTACAGTACTTTTTCACACTGTGAATGTTTAACGATGTAGAAGAGATTTATTTAAATTTTGACTGCGCTGTGCGATATCTCTAATGCGACTAGCTGGATATATTCGCGTCAGATGGTAAATTAAAACTCGACAGGTGTCATAGCTACGAATGGCTTTAGAAACTCTAAAAATATCTTCTCACTCTTACCTTGAGCGAATGAATGTATAAATGAATTTATTAAGTATGTTTCATGTATGTAGTGGGAAATGACTTGCTTTCCTTACATCTCTACCTTCTGAATTAGATATATTTATACATATTTAGTGGCAAATTCCACTCATCTATAGAATTGTCTTCGTAATTTATACCCTCATATACTAATGTGATTCCATTTACATTTCGAATTAACAATCCAAATCGTACCGTATAAAGTAACACACAGTGAGTTACTCAAGGGGTTCTAGACACTCTATACAATAATACAAACTTAGTTGTACATATATGCAAGTGCAAAGAAGTGTAAAAATGCGGAAACAGGTACTGTGTATATTTTATTGACAAATACAAGATTACATCCTACTTTTCATATCCCATACACATCGGTGATCGAATTGATTCTCGCTAAACGTTATAGGAATTTATATTTAACTACGTATTATATTCTTTTACTTTCTTTCTCTCCCAGAGAAGCGATGTTTCTTTTTAAATATCCTGTTAATATAATGCTTATACTGTATACATATATACATATCTGTTATCATATACTAATTAAAGTATATGATCACAGATATGAAATAAGCACGGAAATTTCTACAAATTAATAGAAACAATTCTAAAATATAATTCTGAAGATAATATTGAAATTAAATAAGAGAGATAATTAAATAATAATTAGGTCAAAAACGTGTTCTCTTCATGTTGTGATAGTGTTTATACCAAATCAAGAACTGACAATCTCGTGCTACATGTAGAAGCCATGAGGGTACCAAGAACAGTTTCAGATTTTAGGGTCTAACGACGGTGAAGGTGTCAAACGTGTTCTTCTGGTGTGTGATGCCTTGTAGACTTGTACGCGGTTACCAGGTTTATTTGTAAACGTGGGAACAAGTTATTGCTGGCTAATAAATTTGTTCTCAAGGCCTTCCATGGTTAAGTCACAGACATTCAGCTTCCTGTTTTCATGAAATGTTATTGTTCATAAGTCTTCACAAAATACCGTCATCGGAATTTTCAATGAGCCACAACAAACCAATTTACATCTTCAAACGTATGTCTGTAAGACTCTTTGCTACTTATTCAAAGTCTTGCAGTTATCCCAGACAAAATATTTATCATCGTCTGGGTTGTGACGTCTTTAAGATGGTTACCATCATTTCGCAGGATTATACCTTCCCCATGGAGCCCTCTTCCTTAACAGAATCACATTGTCGGTTTATTGTACTTTGTTGAAGTAACTGTATTAACAACACAAGTAAAAGTGTGTTGGTTACAAAGGTTACCGTTAAATTTAAATCCATCTCACATTTGTTTGAACTGAATCTTTAGCAGTTTTGTTTCAAAATAATTCTACTTACGTAATACCGTATTTTACAGAAACAGAGAACAATCCAACTTCTTGACCATTATACTTCTAAACTTTTAAGCTATGTGTTAGTAGAACGGTCTTCTCCATTTTCCTACTCCCATTGAGCAGGCCTTCACGTATTTTAGTTTAGCATATATTTACAAAACGTTTAAGGAGGGGCTGCATTACAGCAGATACCACGCAGGCGTGTGTCATTAACAGGCAACATGTGACGGCTTGCTGTCATTACGCTCCATACATGACTACATTAGAATGGAGTGATGTCTAGATACACGGACACACGCAGTTGGTAAACACAGAGGTAATTACAGGTCGCTGGTCTACAAGTAGCTTCCGCACAAATTCACAACTGATAGTGCTGTTATCAAGACATTAGTAAGCCTAGGCCTACATAACTTTGTTTGTTCCGTATATCGCAGTGGTATCATGAGGCTAATGGAGAAGACTCGTGTTTTGTTACCACGACATCACAAATTTAAAATGTAAGGATTAAAACTGCCCCTCCCTCCTTTCCAGTCGGGCGACCTTGGCTTCCGGATTCGATAATTTATTTTGAAAATATTTATTGCCTAATGTGTCTCTTATTCGCAGATATTCTTTCGCTTTTGATTCGTCATTCTGTATCTCATTTGTTCTTTCGTGAATTCCCGTTATTCTGTTAGCTATTGTGCATTTCGTTGTGTTACTTTCTAAAAAGTAGAGATAAACATAGATCTGAATAGACAACGTACTTAATTAAAAAACGGCT